GCACTTAGTCAAGGCCTTGACAGTATGTATTAATAATCAATGCCCTCTGTCTCCTCTGCTGTGAGCTCCAGCTAAGGAGCATTTAGGCTACAGCCTACCAGCCTTAAAGAGCTGCTGTCTGGAAAGTACAGGACCTAGTGGGAATAGAAGACAGGCACCTGGCTGGAATCAGCTTAGGAGGCTGAAGTCTTGGTATGGCTTGTGTTTCTAAAGAGCCTGGTGAACCCTCAATGCTTACGTCCCTCAGGAATAAGCCAAGGCAGCAGCATGGTAATGTGTTTCTGTTAAAGATCGTGAGTCTCAGACCCATCATAATGTACAGAGCAGGCACTTGTCAAGGGCAATGGCTACAGCTGAATCTATGGAAAGACAAGGACAGAAGGAAACAAAGGAAGAAAGGAAAGAGAAGGGGAAGGAAGGAGAAGAAAGGAAAGGAGGAAGGGAATACAAAACCAGCTACAATTTAGGAACAGTTTTGATTCAACTGGAAGTTGAATATAGTGATCAAGAGCTTGAGTTAAAAAGCTAGATTATTCTGGGCAGTGATGAGCGTGACTTTAATCCCAACACTCAGAGGCAGGGCCAGGTGGATCTCTGTCTACAAAGCTAGTTTCAGGACAGCCAGGGATACAAAGAGAAACATTGTCTAGAAAAACCATGAAAGAGGAAAGAATAGAAAAATAAAAATCAGGGCAAAAAATTATAAATTATTATTATTTTTTTTTTTTGGTTTTTCAAGACAGGGTTTCTCTGTGGCTTTTGGAGGCTGTCCTGGAACTCACTTGGTAGTCCAGGCTGGTCTCGAACTCACAGAGATCTGCCTGCCTCTGCCTCCCGAGTGCTGGGATTAAAGGCGTGTGCCACCAATGCCCGGCTTATAAATGTTTTTTAAAATGTTGTGTTTGGATAGTATGCCTAGACAACCTTAATGTCCTTTTTGATTGCCTTTCTCATTTTTCCAAATTCCTGATAATGATTGTGGCCTTGAGTCAGTCATCTAACTTATCTAAGCGTTATCTCCAGAATGGGGACATAACATCACTATACAGTACATACTACCATGTTTCACTGCAATGTGAAGATGAAACAAAATATTCAAAAGTAATGCCTACTATATAACAAGAGCTGAGCATAGGGCAGTCACTAGTATGGCTGTGGTAAAAATGATTGATTTGGAAAAAGAAAAAAAGGAAGGAAGGAAGGAAGGAAAGAAAATACAACAACCCAGAGCAGATAATTGTCCTGCCTGCTTTTCTTTTCTTTTTTTTTTTTTTGGTTTGTCGAGACAGGGTTTCTCTGTGGCTTTGGAGTCTGTCCTGGAACTCGCTCTGTAGACCAGGCTGGCCTCGAACTCACAGAGATCCGCCTGCCTCTGCCTCCCGAGTGCTGGGATTAAAGGCGTGTGCCACCAACGCCCGGCCCTGCCTGCTTTTCTATAGCCCTCAAGTGCATTTCCCAGAAAATAGGATGGTCAAGTAGCACCTGCCATGGCTTTCTTGAGCCTGGTAAGTCGTACTCTGGTTATCCTTCTGGAGCTCACCAGAGAACAAACTCAAGCCCTTAGTGTGGGGCAAAATTTAGGAAACTCAAATTCCAGCAAATATGTACCAATGTGTTCTCTGTATCTGAGCTACTTACAAAGGATGCTACGTGTATGAGATAGAGCTCCACAGTGAAGGGTGGTCCCTACCTTGCAGGCCAGGAATACTAGTCTATTCAGAGGCAGAATACTGGACTCCCACATAAGCTACCTTCTCCTCCTGCAGTTTCGCTCAGGCAGACCTCTTTTGTCAGGACTGCTTATGTTCCTTCTCCACTTGGTCAACTTTTTTTTTTTTTTGGAGACAGGGTTTCTTTCTCCCTATAGCCCCAGCTGTCCTAGAACTTGTAGAGATTTGCCAGCCTCTGTCTCCCAAGTGCTGGGGCTAAAGGCATGTGCCACCATGCCCAGCTAATTTGGTTAATTCTTTATCTTGTGACTCAATAAAGCAGCTGGTAGGGACTTCTGTCAGGATGTGCCCCACTTAAGGTCATCAAAGTGACCTGCATTCCTTTGGCCATTTCACTTTGTCCACTCCAAAGAAAAGAGCCACAAAGCCACAAACCAGTATCAGAGCACTGGAATGAGTGTCTGAAGAAGGGGTCTTTCCCATTCTTCCAGCTAGGCGTACTGCAGTCGCCATTCAGACATGTAAACAGGAGGGTGTCTCTGGTGCTTGGTTACATCAGCTTGAGGGTTTACCTGCTGGAGCATCGTGCTTTAGTGTAGGCAGCCAGAGTTCGGTGTCACAGACACAAGCAGCACTGTCTATCAACCTGGTCATGAGGTCATCGCTCCAGCAGAAGACTCAGGTGTGCCGGAACCTGTAGTGTGAGACAGAAGACAAGGGCCACACATGTGAGGGCTTCTCTGGGGTGACTCATTCCTACTCCTCCCACCAAGCAGGAGGAACCCAAACGACAACCAGGCAGGTCTGGGCAGAGAGTGAGAGTCCGTGCTTTCCCTTGCCAATTGGGAAGTAAGGAAACTTTGATGAGAGTCTCCAGAGGTTACCTGGGTTGCTTTCTGATGTTTCTCTTACAGAAAAAAGGCCAAGGGCAGTTTTAAGGTAAGTGATGGGCCAGTGTTGCAAAGTCTTCTGGGTCAATATGCCATAGAGAATGAAGACACCGGGTAGAGCTTGGCCCTGTCATCACCACTAGACAGGAACACCCTGTGTAAGTGTAGCCTGCAGCTGATGGAGAACGGGCCTGGAGACAACTCCTGATGTTCTCGGGAAGCTGCTGTATAAGAAGGGAATCAGTTGTCACTAGATGGGTATGTGACCCCAGGGAAACCCTATCACCCCAAGTCCTCACCTGGAAAAATGTACCTTACTTCCAGAGGTTATGAAGGTCAATGAGGCCAAGGTTTGAAGGCACAGTACAAACCTGAATGTCACTGAGCATGAGTATTAGCATTACTTATAGAGTTGATAACCCATTTGAGGACACTGATCAGGTGGGGGAGGGGCCACTACCCAAAAGGGGAGACGGAGATTGGTAGCACGTGCCTGTAATCTCAACACTCAGGAGGCTGAGGCAGGAGGATCTCAGTTTGAGGCCTCTCTGGGCTACGCTATAAGACCTTGTCTCAAACAAACAAGGTGAGACCAGGGGACAGGAATCCATCTGAGACCAGGGGTGGTGTGAGGGCAGGATCTGAAAAATGGTGAGCCTCACTCAGATTTGGATTTTCCCAAGCCTCAATCCCTGCCTAGCAATGAGGAATGAGGATGAGGGGTATCTACAATTACACCTAGTCCCTTAAAGAATCAGGACCAGGGACTTCCATGGAAACAGGGAGAGGGAAAATTCAAGCAGAAAAGGGTACCAGGACTGTACTAGACATGGTCACTCTGTATACTGTACCCCATCATCTGAGGGTTTCTGGAGACTAGGCTACAAGTTCATTTTGAGAAGGCCAACCAGGAGACCACAACAGTACTAAGTTAGAATCCAAAGCTCAACACATCGATGGAGCCTCATTTTCATACAGCTGTCAGTGGTATAATACCATACCACAAAGCGCAAAATTAAGGCTCGTATGGACGAGTACCTGTGAGAGAGCTTAGTAAAAGCTGGTTATTACTATGCGGCGTCAGCTCCTGGTTGAAGCCAAGTCAGATCAGAGCAGTTTTCTCCAGTTCTCCTGGCTCCTGTCCCCTCCTCTCTCGGTTACCACCAAGAATTTCTGGAAAGGGTGTGACCACAGTAGGCAGAAGGGAGTAATGAATAGGTGAAAGACCAAGTCAAAGCAAGTGGCACCCAGATCACAACCCCCTCCTCCTCAGCCCCTGCTTCAGCTTTTTTGGCAGGAAGGACAGCCGGAGTGTTAGGAGGGAAATAGCTGTGTAAGGGTCTTGGGGATCCAGCCATTTTTGCTTCGGATTCCTGGCGGGAACCAGCACTTGTAGCCCTGGCAACGCGCCCGCAGAGCCCAGCGCTGGGATGCCACTCCGGAAGCACCTGGTACTGAGAGAAAACGTCCTTTGCGGGAAGGTGGATGTGACCCTAGTCAAGGACGCAGTTTCCTTACGCCTCTCGCCTTCCCTGGGTAGGACAAGGAAAGAGGCAGACGTCCAGCCCTGATCTGCCAGAAACACCCCCTTGTGGCCCCCTACTGGCAAACTGGGAAGTGACCGTGAAGGTCCTTGTCCTGGGCAGAAGCTGTGTTACCTCCTCCTGGGTCACAAGAGGGTAGCAAGGGAAATGCTGAATTAGAAGGTGAGGAGCCTGCTTCTACTTTAGCTCTGAGCAGGACACTGGCCTCTCCAACCCCTCGGGCCGTGAAGGGCTTCGGATCTAGGCGGGGAGTGGCACTCACCGGTCCCACGGCCTGGGTGCCCAGCGTGTAGTCCCGACCCGGGACGGTGGGCAGGGTGAGGCGGCCGGAAGAGTCCGGGAAAGGAAGACGGCAGAGTGAGCGGGAACAGCTAGGGAAGAAAGCCGGGAACTCCGGGTCGCCTGCAGCCCGCAGCAGCTCCGGCTAAGTGGCCGGGAGCCCGCCGGCTCCTCCCCCGGGGCGGGGCGCGCACACGCGGCGCTGGACGCACGTGTTCCGTCCCAGGCTGCAGGCTGTGGCTGGCGGGTTAGGCGTGAGGCGAGCTGTCTTGCGACTCTGGGGTAAGGTGTGGTGGTGTTCCTGTGGCCTCCCGAGTGGGCAAGCGCGGCTCCCGGGGGCCGGTCTACTTCAGGTCGCCGGGGCCGAGCCTGACGCGGGCTCCTCGGACCTTCTACTTGACCCGCCTCGCCGTGGGGCCGAGGCCGAGGTGAGGCGTCCCTCCCTCGGACCGCCGCACGGCTCTGTCTCGAGAGGATCGGGACGAACCCAGCCCAACACACTGAAGGGCGTGGGGAGCCGGCGGGGCGGGGACTGTCGCCATCCCGGGCGGGGGCGAGCGGAATCTGCGGGCCCGGAAGAACAGGCTGCGCCGCGCCGCGCCGCGCCGGCCGGAAGCGTTGTTCGCGAGGCGGAAGCGGAGGGAGCCGGCAGGCGCTGTGGGAGCCTGTTCTGTCAACGCTGAAGACCTGTCCCGGCCAGGGCATGGTTGTGGTGAGGTCTCTCGGGAAAAGGGCTTGAATGCCGAAAGAGCACTTACGATGAGATGATGCTGACGCAGGGCCCAAGTAGTCCATAATGGACAATAATGTGTACTACCCTCAGGGGCGTCATACACTTTCATATCTGACCGACGGATGTGTTCCATCAGCGTGCGACTTTTCAGATGTTAGTATGTGACAGAGGAGGTTTTAGGGTGCGTAAAAAAAAAGCCACTAGTCCTGGTAAGTACTTTGCACCCATTTTGTCCGCCTGCTCCTTGATCTGAAAGTATGGCCTTGTGTGTGCGAGGAAAAGAACCTGGCTCTCTGCCGTCCCCTGCATGCGCCCAGTGTTGTAGTAGGTTGTGAGGGCTCTGGACGGAAACCAGGTACCCTGACTCTAAAACACACTTACAATTTCTCTTCCTTCCTGAAGTTTTAAGGTTCTTAGAAATGCACATGCAAGTTTCCTGAAGGCTTTCATAACATACCAGTATATATCATGATATATAACTAGTTATATATATAGTTATATATATGTATGTGTACACACACACACACACACACACACACACGAGACAGAGAGAAAATTATGCTCAAATTATGCTCTGTAATAGAAATTCCTGACTGTGATCATATTAGGATTCATATCCCAAATTTGCTGTCTAAAAGAGACAAAAAAGAAATCAGGTCAGCTGGATATGGTAGCACATGCCTTTAAGCATTTGGTGTGTGTGTGTGGGAGAGGCAGGTGGCTCTCTTGAGGTCAAGATCAGTTTAATCTACATACTGAGTTCAGTGAGCCTCGATGTCTTTTTTTGGTTTTTCAAGACAGAGTTTCTCTGTAGTTTTGGAGGCTGTCCTGGAACTTGCTTTTGTAGATTAGGTTGATCTTGAACTCACAGAGATCCACCTGCCTCTGCCTCCCGAGTGCTGGGATTAAAGGCGTTCAACACCAATGCCTGGCTCTTTGAGTCTTCTTTTTTAATACTTATTGTGTATACAGTGTTCTCCCTTCATGTATGCCTACACCAGAAGAGGGCACCAGGTCTCATTATAGATGTTTGTGAGCCACCATGTAGTTGCTGGGAATTGAACTCAGGACCTCTGGAAGAAATTTCATACTCTTCTCTTAATGTATCAGTGTTGACTTTTCCCTATAATCTTAGGATCTAGCAGAGTCAGAAATTCTGCTCTGAATTGAAATCGTTAGGGCTTAAATTACTACTTTTTTTTTCTTTTGGTTGATGGGGTAGCTGGTTCAGACAGGGTTTCTCTGTGTAGCCCTGGCTGTCCTGGAACTTGCTCTGTAGACCAGGCTGGCCTTGAACTCACAGAGATCTGCCTGTCTCTGCCTCCTCAGTGTTCAGAGTAAAGGAGTGTGCCACCACTGCCTGGTGGGACTAAGCTTCTATTCAGTCCACATGTATGCCTGTGAGGGTGTTGGATCCTCTGAATCTGGAGTTACACACAGTTGTGAGCTGCCATGTGGGTTCTGGGAATTGAACCTGGATCCTCTGGAAGAGCAGCCAGTACTCTTAGCGGCTGAGCCATCCCTCCAGCCCCTAAACTTCTGTTCTAAAACTGAGAAATACATAAATTCAAGTGAGATATGTAGATTTTTACTGACTTTACAGTGATACTGCTTCCCTCAAATCCATTCTTTTGTCTTGTTTTCACAGGAAGAAAACAAAATGTCTCAAAAGCAGATGAAGGAAGCATTTGTCAGCAATCTCAATGGAACCAGCGTGCTGGAAGTGACCCAGGGCTTGTGCTTTCCTGCTTTCTGTATTCTGTGTAGAGGCCTTTTGATCATTTTCTCACAGCACTTGTGTTCTTTCTCACACAACTGGAGCACACGATTCCTCATGGACTTTGTTGTCCTCATAGTCCCCCTGGTGACCACTTTGACTATATTGTCTTCGTTTATCTTCCTTGAGAATCTTGTGGTAATTGTCTGTGGGGCATGGCTGTTATATCAGATATACCAGAGGAGGACTTGCTATGCCAAAGTGCCTGTCCAGAAAGTCTTTGCCAACTTCTTGAAAATCAGCCTAGAATCAGAGTACAATCCAGCCATCACCGGTTACCGAGTCATTAACAGTGTATTTACTGCTATTGCCATTTTGGCTGTGGACTTCCCACTTTTCCCTAGAAGACTTGCCAAAACTGAGCTTTACGGAACAGGGGCCATGGATTATGGAGTAGGTGGCTTTATTTTTGGGGCTGCAATGGTTTGTCCAGAGGTTAGAAGGAAATATGTAGAAGGGTCCAAATTTAATTATCTGAGAAAATCACTGTATTCTGTCTGGCCGTTAGTCTTCTTGGGAATGGGACGGTTAGTCATTATAAAATCCATAGGCTATCAGGAACATTTAACTGAGTATGGAGTTCACTGGAACTTTTTCTTCACCATCATAGTTGTCAAAATAATAACATGCCTTCTTTTGACTATTTTTCCTTTAAATAAGTCCTGGTTTGTGGCTGTCAGCATTACTGTGTTATACCAGCTAGCTCTTGACTTTACTCCACTCAAGAGGATAATTTTGTACGGCACTGATGGTAGTGGCACAAGAGTTGGTTTATTAAATGCCAACCGAGAAGGAATAATTTCCACTTTGGGGTACGTGACAATACACATGGCTGGCGTGCAAACAGGGTTGTATGTGCTTAAGAACAGAACACACATCAGAGACTGGATAAAAGTTACTTGTTGTATTCTCTTAGTGGCTGTCAGCTTCTTCATTTCTCTTTATGTAGTTCAAGTAAATATAGAAGCCGTATCTCGAAGAATGGCCAATTTAGCCTTTTGCGTGTGGGTGGTTGCTTCTAGCCTGATGCTTCTTAGCTGTCTGTTACTGAGTGATATAATTTTGAGTTTTGCCAAATTTCTAATTAAAGGGGCTCTAGTACCATGTTCTTGGAAACTTGTACAGTTGCCTGCTACAAATAAAAAACATTCCGAACCTCTAATCCTGGAAGCTGAAAAAAAAGAGCCCAGTCTTTGTTTAATCACAGCCCTGAACAGAAACCAGCTGTTTTTTTTCTTACTGTCAAATATAACAACTGGTCTGATTAACCTGACGGTGGATACATTACATAGTGGTACCTCATGGACCTTAGTTGTACTCAGTATTTATATGTTTACCAACTGTTTAGTTATATATGTACTTGATTTACAAGGTAAAACCATTAAGTTTTGGTGATGAGTGGGGAGGCTATATGTATTTAAACAGCATTATTGTAGTGGAGGAGAGTAAGTATGAAGGAAATGTGCTCTTAGCAGTCCATCTTAACCATATTTTATTACAGAGTTTCAATCCTCTGTGACAGAAATTAAACTTTACTTTTTCTTTGAGGAAATCTCTTGCCACTGTATCTGGATGTGTAATACATTTCAACATTATGTAAAACACAAGTCTCACAGGGCATTAGTCTCAGCATGGGAGGCAGAGGCAGGCAGGTCTCTGTTTGTCTCTGAGTCCAAGGCCAAGCCTGATATGCCTGTTGAGTTTCAGGACAGCCAGGGCTGTGTAGAGAGACCCTCAGGAGGTGAAAAAAAGTGAAACAAAGTCTTGTGACTTATTGGAACTTATAAAATGCCAGTATTTTAAAGAACTTGTTCACAGGATTTTGTCTGGAACTCACTGTGATATTTGTACTTCAGTCTCAGCACTGGGGTTTCTGGCATGAGTCACCACACCCAACTTAGTAGTTTTGACACTGGAAGATGGATGGTGGGATTTTTTACTTTCTGTATGTCATTATGTCATTGTATTTGTGATTGTCTATATGAATATATAATTGTATGATTATGCTGTTTACATTAAGATATTTGAGTTGTTTTTTAAGTTTTCTTTTTGTTAGGTTTATTCCTTTTTTATTTATGTGTTTTCCCTGCATGTGTGTGTGTGTGTAGCACAAGCATACTTAGTGCCTGAAAGAATTAGAACTTTAATCTCCTGGGAACAAGTCATTGATGGGTGTAAATGACCATGTGGGTACTGGGAATTGAACCTGGTCCTCTGCAGGAGTAATAAGTGCTCTTAACCATTTGAACCATTTCTCCTGCTCCTTCAATACCTCTTTTGTACTCAACTTTCATCTTTTAATAAAATTTAGAACTAAAAATCAAGTGTTCAAAACCAGATAAATCTGAAGTCAGAAAAAATGTAAATTCAATAAATAATGATTGAGTTGGATGATATATATAATACCTAAAAGTTTTTTTCAGGTACCTGACACATTTTATTTTATTTTCTCAAAGACAAGAGTTTTGACATAAGATCTTACTTATGTAGTCCACACTAGCTTTGAACTCTCCCTGTAGCTCAAACTGGTCTGGAATTTATGATCATCCAGCCTCTGTTTCTCAAGTGCTAGGATTGTGAGTTCGAATCCTCAACCCACCTATACAAGTTTTAAGACTGATTCATTCTAGCCTACTCTGCTTGGTATATAGTAATAAAGCACAGCTAAGGTATGTATCCTATAATCATAGCACTCAGGAGGCTGTGGCAGGAGCTGGAGCTCAAGGATAGCCTGGGCTACATAGATCCTGTCCCAAAAGATAAAACAAATTTCTAATATCTTAGAGCTTTCAGTCTAGTGAAGGGAAACACATTAAACTAAAATATTGAGTCATAGAAAAAAGAAAACACTTGGATTAAGTGTCAAACCAAGAACCAGTCTAGAAAGGAAACAAATTTTCTCTATAGACGGATATTTTTGAGGCAATGCTAATGGGTGGTACAAGTATCTAGGGATAGAAGGGTAGACAGCCAGAGTATTCAGTGTGATGAATCTGTCAGCAAAAATTGTAAGTTGTAAGGGAACCCGTGTAACTCAGAAAAAGGCAGTGTGGGTTGTAAACTGGAGAAACAGGAAGGGACCAGGTAAGGCAGCTTCAACTATGGGAAAGACAATCAAGAAAATCAGTTGAGAAATGAAATCTTCAAACACATAGTCTAATAAAAATAGTTACATTAAAGCTTAATAGTCTGCTGAGAAGTGGAATTATTTAAAGTTTTCAAGCAGATCTTTGAGTCCGCTGTTAAATCTAAAGATTTAAAAATCACAAGATCTTTAGTTTCCAGTTCTGATGTTCAGTGTGTATGTTAGTTTACTTATTTATTTTGAGATAGTCTATTTCTGGAACTATGTAGGCTAGTCTGGATTCAAATCATGGAGATCCATCTACTTCCAAGTGCTGGAATTAATGGTGGATGTCACCATGCTTGACTAATACATATATTTTAGGGCAGATGTAATACTGGTCAGCTGTGGTGATGACAAACCTGTCATCCTAGGACTTGGAAGATGGAGGTGGGAGAATCAGGAGTTAAAGGCGAGTCTCAGCTCCATATAAACCTGAGGCCAGACTAGACCTGTGTGTGTGGTTTGAGGGGATGGGAGTCAGTGAAATTTTGCTTTTCTGATTTCAAGGACAAAGCAGAAATGGCTGCTGGTCAGGGTATTCAATTTGGTATTTACTAGCAACCTAAATTATTTGTATAGTTTAGAACAGGTAGAGCCTCCTGGTACAGGTTTGCTGTTTAAACTAGTTGTCTTCAGATTGTAGACTCTAATTTTTGTGTTGCTGGGGATTGAACCAGAACTTCAAATTCACTAGGTGAGCATTGTACTGAGCCACACACCTAACTCTGAGAATGTATTTTTTAATGTAAATTTACTAATTGTTGTTTTATTTCAACTTCTTGATGGCTAATTTTGTGTTAAGATGACTTTGTATTTGATGACTGCAATCACATCACATTATATTTTCAATTAAAAAGTAAGACTTTTGAAATTTAACCAATAAGATTATACTATGTAAATTAAGCCTGACTAGCAAAGTTGATTTTTCTGCTGTGTCACAGTACCAGTACCCCACAGTTTATCTGTTAGAGCAGCCAGAAGAAGGCAGAGTAGCTCAATTACTACATTCATTTAGAGAAAGTAGCTATCCTACTACCTAATGAACAAGTTGTCTCATTTGGTCTGTTGCTTTTTGTTAATATCTTTTTTTCTTCTTCTTAAGATGGGGATCACAGCCAGGTGGTGGTGGTGCACTCCTTTAATCCCAGCAGAGGATTCTGGGGTGGACCACCACACCTGGCACTTTATTTTGTTCTTTTATTTTTATGGTCTTTATTTACTTATTTTTGTGGTACTGGAGACCAAACCTTGGGCTTTGAGCCTTCCAAGTGTTCTACCACTATACCCTCAGTCCTTCATACTTTTCTAGTCTATGTTTGTATCTTTGACAGTTACAGGTATTAACTAAAAAGGTCAAATAAATAGTTTTTCCATCTTCTAATTTCCAAGGTCCTAAAGGAAGGCTAATGAATTCATGAAGTCAGAATTAGTTGGCAAAACTCCCTGTGATTTGATCTTTTTCAGAATAGAAAGATCACTTAACAATGGTTTACTGAGCTCCAAGGTGTCAGGTAGAGATGCTAGGAATACAAAGTCCCTGACTTTAAGGAGCTTATATTTATTTTTTAAAAATCTAATATATTTGTTTACTTTATTATTATTTTGAGTTAGGCTCTGTGCAATCTGAGCCTGCCTTGAATTTATGATGGGTAAACTCCCTGCCTTGTCTTCTCAAGGGCTGGAATTGTAGATTTGTGCTATTTTTAATTGCTAAACAGAATTTCCTACTGTCAGATTATGAAAAGGAAAATCCAACTTACAGATTCTCAGACATACTAATTTAAATAAATTCTGCCACTGATTTTACTGCTGTATCAAACAATATAATGAAATTATAATTATAGTGAAAACAGAAGGTATTCTACTGCCATTTCTTCATAGCTTGGTTCTTTGCTAGTACCTGGTGTGTATTTAGTAGTGAAAATTAAAGTTAAAAGCTATATATGTATTGCCTCAATATGTTACCAAGCATAACCTAAAATTAAAGTGATCTAAAGCAGGTACATGGATTATAGTAGTTGTAGACATGAAACACAAGGTTCTCTAAAAGTGTCAGTATTTTTACAGTGTACCTTAACCTGTCAGGTGCATGCAAACCACGTATGCTGACTGGATTTAAGCTAAGGATCACACTGTTCTGCTTTTAGTATGGCCCAAAGACATATTTACTAGATAATCACACCTTTGGGAACACACAGTGGTTCTTCCAGTTTGTTATGTCACCTACCCTAACAGTGACCACATAATGTCGTAAGTCAACATGGCTAAAGATATACTATGGGTTATTTTTTTGTTGTGACTTTCAAAGACTTCATGTGATGATCAAAACACTTTTTAAAGGTCAGTAACAACAGCTTTAGCCTATTTTACCACAAAATATTTGATCTTTCCTTAAGATCAGGCAGTTGTACCAGCAGCGAATGGATTTATCGTTAAAACAGTCTTCGGGCTTTACGACGGACCTCCTCAGATTAGGACCTAAGAACGTGGCAGCGGGCAGAGTGCAGAGGAATTGTCTTTACAGCAGCTCTGGTTCTCGGAAGATGGTCAGGCGGAAGGGCCTTTGGCCACTACCAGTACTTTGCCCAAGGGAGTCCCTAAGTTAATATTAACTCAAGAAGTTCCTCTTGTCGGAACGTACACAGACTACTGTTCAATTTTTTCTCAAATAACAAATTCTGCACGTATCCATCTGGGAGATCTTGATGCAGTCCCCGTAAGGCGATCGGCTCCGGGTCAATCAGGGTAGCAGCAGAGCTTGTTCTCCAATCTTCCAGTGGTGGAAGTCCTACTGCCAAATCCTGGAAACCATGGCCAGATGTCTTTCCACTGTCCGTTCTCATTGACCTCGACAGCCTCAGCTCCTCACCACTGACCCAAGTCCTACCTGGGCCTGGACTCATGCTGTCCACCCAGACGAGGCGCTTTTCACCCCTCCGCCCTCGGGAGAGCAGATCCTAGTTCGGCACGGACAGAGACCCAGGCTACCCCTGCTCAGCCCCCCTACTGGCTCTATTTCACGCTTATTTCGGTAAATCCGGGGCTCCGGGTGGGTGAGCCCACGGGATTGCACAGGGAGCTGCCCCCGCACCACACGCAGATTTCGAAAGTCGGGACCCGAGAGAGGCGGCCGCGGTCTCGCGAGAAGAGGCAGGCCCCGCCCGGAGTTCGCGGCCCCTCCCGGCCCCACCCTCCCCACGTCCCCCGCCCTCCCTCCCACACTCCCCGTGGCGCGAGCGGCTGACTGAGCCTGGAGAGGAAACGGCATCCGCAGCCGCGCTCCCGCCCAGGCCGGCCCTGACGCGGGCCTCGTCAGCCGGTAACGGGGAGCAGAGGTGGGGGTCAGGGAGGCGTCCACGAAGTCAGTGAAGGTCAGAACCAAGAGCCCTCCTCCGACCTGGGTGAGGACCGGGTCTGAGCTTGCCCGTACCCCCGAACTCTGCAGAGCCGAGGCGGGGTCGACCCCTCCCAGGGGCGGGGTGGCGCCGGGCAACTGCAGCCCAGGGTCCCGCCTGGGCGGGGCGCTCGGAGCGGGGAGAAGGGGGTCAGCGGCGGGGTGCGGGCATGGGCTGTGGAGCCGAGGCGGAGATGAGCTCCTGGAGCCCCGACTCCCAAGCTGGGCGGGGATGTCCCGGGGCCAGCAGGTCCTTTCCGCCTCTCCTTTGGACCCTGACTGGAGGCCAGCGGGCGGGCGGGCGGGCGGGCGGGAGGGCGGACGGGGGGTGGGTGGGTGGGTGGGGGAGGGCAGGCGGCGCGAGGGGGCGGGTCCCGGTGCTGCGGGGCACTGATTGGCTGAGCGCGTGTGGAATCGGGTGATGGGAAACGCAGCGCGGCTCTCCCGTCCTCTTGCTCCGCGCCCCCCCTTTCCCCCCGTGGCGAATGTGCTGAGAGGTGGCGGGTGCTTACGCTCGCGGGGTTTGGCTGTTGCAGGCAGGAGCTGGGAGGAGGCGGCAGCGGCAGGAGCGGCGGCAGCGGCAGCGGCAGCTGGGAGGAGGTGGTGACGGTGGCAACGGCAGCGTCGGGGACGATGGCGCGACTGGTGGCAGTGTGCAGGGACGGGGAGGAGGAGTTCCCCTTCGAGAGGAGGCAGATTCCCCTCTACATAGACGACACCCTCACGGTGAGCGGGCCGGGCCGGGTTGGGCCCGCTGCTCTCCTGGCAGCTGTTTCCCCTCCTCCCCCTCCCCCAGGCCGAGCGCTGCGCACTGGAGAAAGAGTGTGTTGCAACTCCTAGGCGAGGCCGCCTTCTTGCCGACAGGCCCCA